TGTCCACTTTATTATAAAAATTTTTTTAGTTAGGATTTTTTTAACGCTAATTTTAATAGCAATAGGAAGATTTTTAGTGTGACCGGTATTATGTGAAACAATATGATTGGTGCGTATTATTCACATGGCCATATTTGATTGGAGAACAAAAAAAATTTTACATATTACCAAATTCTTCTAAAACAGTTTCAGGAACTCTATAATGAGACCGATACCATTTAATCGCAAAGACAGCCACCTTACCTGAAAGTCTAAGCTCGTAAGCACTCATATAATGCGCAGAACGACGTGAAAACTGACAAATTTTTATTAGGCTAATGGAATCTAATGCATGCAGTACAACCTCCTTAAGATGATTGAACGAATAATCGCAGTGAAGACATGAGTACCGCTTCGCCTCTGCCTAAAAGGATTCGATGTAATTAAGTTCGCAGTGGAACTTCAGGTAGAACATACACATATGTCTTGCTACTTCAATAACCTAAAAAGATAAGTATTGTTAATTATAATTGTTATATTTGAATAGTGAATATCATACTAATTGCAACTTACCTCCTGTATGTGCATCCTTTGTGATGCAAAGTCAGGTTGGGCAAAAAGAATGTATGTTGTGCAACAGTTCATTTTATTTGGATCAGGATTATGTTGCGTATATGCATTGCACTTTCTTTTTAAACCTGGTATCCATAAATCACGTTCTTCAAGAACTTGTCGAATACCTTTAGGCTTTACAACATCATTAACATCCGTAAATATCATGATATGAGGTAAGCCATCAAGCATTTTACCATTTCGGAGGAGTGGTTGTTTTTCACTGTCTTTCATGTTCATTCTTGAAACCACTAATGCATCATCAGCAAATGCATTGTGGTTGCAACTGTTATCGAACATGAAAAGTGCAACTTTCCCCAGATGAGTATGTTTAAATATCAGAATAACCCACTCTTTTACTTGTTTAACAACATCCTTGTTTGTTCACCAGCCATCACGATTCGTACCAGGATACATTATAACGCAAGCTTCAATGTACATTAGCTACTCATTATTAGAAAGTAAATCGTTAGTAGAACAATCCTCTTCTGAAAGTCGAAGTCGTCCAATAGACTCACAGAGAAAGTCACTTACGTGAATACTAAGGTCTTCTAACTTACGACGAAATTGACTCTCATCTGCTGGACCTCAAGCTTTAACAACATCATCATTTGCATAAAAGACCGACTCGTCATAGGTAACAAAAACGATTTCAGGAACACCATGTAGAAGTACGGGTAAGATGATCTGATCTAAATTCTCATTTTCATAAGTAGCCATTCGCTTTTGTAATTCTGTTCATTGTTATAAAAATCGATGTCTATTCGTCACTACGTTTTCACGTTTATGACAATCAAAGTAAATATTCTTTGAGTGATCCTTATATTTCTAACCAAGCATATGCAGCTATTCACGTGCAGTTGAATGAGAGATACTTGCCTTTTCTTCTATTCCAATGGCCTATATGATAATAAGAGAATAAAATGTACAGTATTAATAATTTAATCATGTAAAAATCATAATTTAAGAACAATCATACTAAATTTACGTTGAGACCTTATGACACTGGGGAATATTGGCCTAATAGAAAGAGAGGAACTTACCCATGATTGCAAGTTCTAATTTGCAGGGATAACCTCATTCTCAATGAATTTTACGAAATCAGTAATGTTTAACGTGAATTTATATGCATGTAAGTATTCAGTAACTCACAATTTAACATCTTCATGCAAAAGAAGGGACCTTATTTTTGCATGTCGTCCACATTTAGACAAAACAATTATACCATTATTCAGCCATTAGTTTGTCCAGAAGCAGATAAGCTGTGCTTGCCATGGACCTTTGTTTAAGCTTTGAGCAAGAATATTACTTGCATCCATTTTTGTGTATCCTTGATCCTATGCTAAATGAAAAAATTGACTTACCATCTGAAACCGCAAATCATCTTTCTTTTTTTTGATAAAAAAACTAGTGATTCCAACGTAAATTCATTATCATCATCGCTACTATCACATACATCAAATGTAGGATCATCATTATTTGTATTGTTTGTATTAGACTTCGCAACTTCATTTGCTAGAAACATTTCAGTGATTTTCTTAGAACCTGAAACTGCTTTTTTCCAATATGCCCTTTATTACGTAATGTTGACTCTGCATCACCAATATATACTGACCTACGCGAATCTACAACCCACATGTAACTTTGCATTTTCGACTAGTTGTTGTAGTATACATGTACCTGGTTTTCATACTTGCATTTCATCTGTAATTTTATTACTATCAAAAGATGCTTCCTCACCTTTTGTCCAAAAAATGCCAAACCATGATTTATCAAATTCATTAGGTTCAGCATCTGATGGTTCAAGTATTACTTCTTCAGAATTTTTTGCTTGTTTCCAACGTTTCTTGATGGCTTCTCAGGACTGTCTAATATGTTTATTTTGTTTTGACATTTTATTAAATTGAAATATAGTTACAGCTAATTTCATAATTCATGGACTATTAATAATTTTTCAGTCACATTCAGTCGCAATATTTTATAGTAATTTTATTATAAAATATTTTCAGTCGCATTCAGTCACAATTTATTAGTGGTTCACGAATTATGAAATTAGCTAATGATGTAAAATGACACGAAATGTTGCGATTTAATTAGTATCACGTGATTAAAATTAGTCACGTGCTAGAATTTCGACCAATCATATTTTGATTTAATATGGTAATGATCGACGAGATTTCAGCGGTGGCTTAGCCATTTGATGTGACTAAGCCGTTTGCATCATACAATATTTTAAAAAACTTAATAATTTCGCCTTTTTTGTATAATTAAAATTTTAATAAATAAAACAACTATTGTTTATAATTATATAATTTCTAATGGATCTTTATCTACCTTACTTACCACTACATCGATAATTTCCTTCTCACCATCATCTTTAAATAATTGTTCTAATTTTGGTTTCAGTATTTCGGAAAGATATCCTCTTTCCGTATTTGAATGTTCGCCTAAATAAATTAACCTTCTGTAAGCTTTTCATACTTTTAAAAATAAAAGTGCAAGTTTTAGGGAACTTACATAAAATTACACTGGTATCTTTATCCAATGCAGCAAGAACATCATGATGAGACATTTCTCCCGTAAAATATATATCAGCTGTAGCGCGTGAAAGTACCGAAGAACCTATTATATATGTTATGAAAAGTTTGATATTTATCTTTTATTTTTTATTTTTGGGTGGATAATAACGTACCTGAACCAGCACATATTCCAATTGTCAAAATTAGTCCTCCAGATGAATGTTTATTCGTTGTTGCAACTCTAACTAGATATAGAATTCAAAAATTCAACCTTTTAAGTTTTTATTGACCATTTTCAAATAAAATAACTCTTACCATGTTGAAGCTTCAAATGCTGTTTCACTCTTTCAATTATAGTTGAAAGCGACACTGGTTGATCTAAAGTAAATATCCTGCCTAATCCAGCTTCTTCGTGATCTATTTAATTATCAATAGAACATTTACGATTTCTTAAATAAAGCTTTTTGATCTGAAAATACTAATAAATTGTAAAACCTTGAGGTGGATTTGGTGCCGGAGTTATAGGCTTTACATTTCCCGATCCAAGTCCTTTTGCCAGCCAATCATTAACTAGAATTAAAAATACAATAAGTCTTTAAATCCCTATATAATTAATAAGAATTGACCTTTGCAATAGAAAGGGTGGAAAACCATCGGAAAATAAAAAAAAAGTTACTGTAATGCTAATCTCCATTTGAAAACATATTCGAAATATAAAGTAAGCTTGATCATTTCCTGGCAGTTTCCACCTTTTCTTATTGCAAGGGTCCATTACAATTTACCTCCTCCAACGCAAGAATCACTAGCAGTATGAGGACTAAATATGCCAACACCATGAGCGATGCTTTTTAATATAATAGCTTGTTTGGAATCGTCTAAAGTTAATCTTTTAAAAGAACGAAAAATTGGTGGATGATAAGCTATAATAACTCCAACTTTTTGATCGGAGAGAGCTTCTTCTAATACCGAGGGTGTTAAATCTATTGTAAGAAATACTCGTGATGATGGTCTTGGATATGGTGGTTCTATTAATTTTCCCACGTTATCCCATGAATGTTCTGCTAACGAAATTGGTGATATTTTTTCCATTGCGCGTATTACACGTGAAAAAAACGCCATTATTATGATTCTTTATAGGAAGAAAAGAATTAAGAAATTTGAGAAAATGAAGGGAGATGATGTTTGATTAGATGAGCTTATAAATCAAATCATATTTCACGTGACATAATCTAGGTATTTATTCCAACCTTTTTTTTTTTTTTCTATTCGAGAATTTTTAACCAGGTAAATAAATTTTTTTTTTTTTTTTATAAAAAATGGATATTTCGCTATGATGCATAAAAAAAGTAATTTCTTCACTTTCTGAATTCACACTTAAATATGAGGAAATTTTAGGACACCTCTGAGCGAATATATAATGAATTTTTTTTTTCATTTTTGCTATATTCTTAAATCTCTCATATTAACATTATTTCCCTTCTAACAGGTATTATTGATTTTAATGGAAAGTAATGAATCAGTTATGCTTTCTATAAAACGAAAGTCAACTGATAAATAAAAGTTTTAGTCAAAGTAAATGATTTCCGAGTATAAATTTGATACATTAAATTCTTTTAAATAAGTTTAACAAATCATATTTAATAAATTATTAATGTGTAATATTAAATTTATAACGCTATATCTTTAAGACATGTTAAACATGCTGCAATTCGGATTCTTAATTGTTTTCTGATTATTAAATTGAATAATGTTAAAAAATAATAATTGCGATCAATTTTTATTATGAATAAATACAGCTTATTACGGAATGAAATAATATTTATTTATTTGATTTGAATTTTCAAAATGGTTTATTTATTACGAAGATTCTAAAGGTGTCAAGAACAAAAGGTCGAACTCCATAGCAAATTCACAGTTTATCGACCATATCTATACAAGAAAGGAGGATATTTAAAAAAAAAAAAATTTTTTTTTAAGATTATAGAGATTTTAATAACATACTTCTGGAATTCCCACTCTCTGTTATCTAGAGGGCACACTTGACGAGTCTTTAACCAACGAGAGATACAGTGGAAATGAAACGCATGATTACAAATCCCCCAAGCTCTAAGAATTCATTCATCAAATGTAGCAATGAGCATTAAATCAGAACTAATTAATCTACACAATTTAACTTACACCGTACATTCTTCACTGGTTGCAGATGCTTGATTTGCTTGACATTCTATACCTATTAATTAAATTCAAAGGTTTTAAACAAAGTGTGGTAGCAAAATCTTCCAAAAACAAAAAAATAAAAAAATAATCTTACATAAATCCATGATATGATTTCTGCAAATAGCGCAGTTATCAACGACGATATCTTATGATAGAAATTTATATTTATTTATTTATACTCACGATTATATAAAATATAATAAGTAACAAAATATTTACCCCATGCCCACAATGCAACTGCATTCCACTGAATCGAGTCAAATTTAAAAATATTAAAATTATTTTAGCTACATAGTTTAGGGACTACTTTTTTAAAATAAAATCTTGCGGAACAAATAACTCCGGATAATGAAAATCCAAAAGTACCTTCTTTACTTCAAAACGTTTCCTTCCAGTATCTTTTGCTTTCCCGCTTGATTTAGAGCCAGAGGGTTGATCAATTTCCATTGGTGTGCTCATTTCAGATTTTGTTTAGAGATTTAGCTTTATTAGTTTTTAAGATAGAAGAGAGCGGTATGTTGAGAGATTAAATTATTCAACATTTCTCTATTCTATCACATAAATGAGAATGGGATATTTTAATTTATGATCGTGTCACTAAGCAACACTGTTACACATCATAGTTTGATAAATTTCTCAAAATTTGATTATCTAATAAAACAAAAAAAAATGTCCACACTTTTAGTAGCTACCCCACGAAGCATTTCATGCATTCGATTTTTTGCACGTTCTTATGCAACGTTAGTTGTTAACACAAAAGTTAACGCTCCAAATCTTAATTCAACGCCAAAACTCGATGAGCAAAGCGAAATAGATAAAGAAAAAAGTACTAGTACCATTTCCTCTATAACTTCTGGTGAGTGGGAGAGAATCAAAATTGGCCTTTTTTTCATTATTTTTTTGTTTTGAATTTTATAATTTTCTTTCAATTTTCGCATTGTAAAGGAATCAATTCAGCTTTACAATGGACGGAACATCATCCGATACCAGATCCAAAGTTTGAGGTCGTTTCCGCTGGGACTTTGAGCGCTTTGCTCTTGGTTAAAATTCCGCCAAGGTCAGAGATACTTGCAGCACCTGGAACAGCCATTGCTGTATCAAGTAAAGTGTGAATTGGTTAATGATGATTTTTCTAATCAATAGATTTATGATTTTAAAAAAAAAAAATTGATGTAATTTACTTAAATTTTGCAAATGATTTAGGTTATAGCGGAACGAACTATGGATGGAAATATTATTATTGCTTTAGGTAGGAAGTTTGCTGGTGGATCCTTGATCTATAATAAGGTGAACATAATAAGATAAATTATTCGTATGATGGTATCTTGTCAATCCATCAACTCACTGAAATGACACCAGCCTTTTGAACCTTATGACTTTTCAGTTCATGACAGGTTCGAATCCTGGTGATGTTCTTCTAGCACCTCGTGATTTATCAGACATATCTATCATAAATATGGATGGCAAGTCTGTTTACTATGTTAGAAAAGGTGCCTTCCTTGCGCGCGGTCCTAGAGTCACAGTAAACATTGGTCGGATTTATGGAATGGTAACTCTCATGATTCTCTTAACTTTTATATTTATGATCGGGAATTATTTAATCTTCCAAGATTTTTTTTTTATAGGGTTCATTGAATGCTTTTGCAAACCGTGTCACCGGTAGAGGTACATTAGTTATCTCAAATTATGGATCTATACATCGATTGATTTTGAATCCAGGAGACGCATATTTTGTGAACTCAAAGTAATCTCCTCTACTTTTAATGTTAAATTCTATTACGAGCTTTTTTTTATGCTAAATTTTTAATTTAATATTAGACATCTTTTAGCTTGGAATTCTCAGACCAAACCAATAATATCACCACCTTTGATCACTTCATCTTCGGTTGATAAAAATAGACTGATTAGAAATGTCACTGCCAAACTATCAGAGAAAACTAACGAATTATTTGACACAATTTTTAGTAGTCCTTCAGTAAAACCAACGCTTGAAAGATTAAAGAGAGCTTCGGTTCGAACAAGGAGATGGGCGTTTGGTGGACCTGTTCGTATTAAATTTTTGCAAATTTATACTTTAAAAATATTTTCACACAAAACTTAAATTCTTTAAAATTTCAGGAGTACCTAAAGTTAACAGGTCCAGGCGATTTTTATTTATCGTCGAGAATTTCACCAGTTCTAGGAGGATTCAAATCGTGAGTAATTGTAAATCGATTCTGTTAAAGATTAACTAGTGAATTCATATTTCTAAAATTATCTAGGTTGACATCACCTTCTATCGAAGAAATTGTTGCAGTGGATCCTATACACTTGGAGACACAAAATGATCACAATATTAGACAATCGCCACCTTATATACCTTTAATGTCATATGCTGTAGTAGCGAGTGATGGGACAGTATCTTTTATAAAATATAAGGATTCATCAAAAACTTCATTTAGTAGTTCTTTATCTCCCCCATCTCCCGAACAAGATAACAGATCAACTATTGGAAGAATAGTTTCAGGAGATGGTATGTTACAATTAAGACGTTGGGTAAGGAGAGTAGTTGGAAGTAATAAAGATATCAGAAGAGATTAATCTCTATAAACATTTTTGAAAATACTATATTTTATATATAGGTAGGTTTTTCTCTGAAAATATTGATTAGATAACTTCGTTTTTTTTGTTCTTTTTTATTTTTATTTTATTTTTAATGCAATTATATTAAAGTCTTGTATATTACTGTATGTCATTTATGGTAGATCTGATCGTCTAAGAGATAATTTATAGCAATCTTGTGTATTTATATAATTTATGTTAATAAAAGATTTTCTCGCTTTATATGACTTATTTTTATTATCATAACGGTTAATATTTTCTTTTTTGAAATTTTCACAGGAAAAATTTTTCGTTATAAATAAATATTTCCTTCAAAATTTATGTTGATAATGAAAGTTTTCTAAATTTTGTTCTAAAATGACACGTCATAATAAAAGTTTATATCGAGCGCAATTTGATTTTTTCCTCTCTAAAAGGTAATGGCTGTCGGTTATTAATATCTTTCGTGAAGTCGAGCTTTTGCATGTGGTACAATATATTGTACTTAAATTGACTGCATAATAAAATTCCGAACATGATTACTTTTATTTGATAAATTAAGGGTGAACTCTTTGTTCAGTCCATTCACCAGTTTGATTATTTAATTTCCAATTGGTTCTTTTATGAGGATCAATTGCTAATTCGACACGATCAACTTCTTCAACTTCAAAAATAACTAAGGCAAAATTTTCAAAAGATTTTTGAATTAATTCATTGTCTCTATCATTCTTACCAATGACTCCAAGTTTTTTAATGAAATTTTCATTTTGAAGTGGTGAACCGGGAGTAGGATAAGTTAAATTTGCGCGTAATTCATCGGAAATTTTTTCAAATTGAGACCTTAATTCTTTATTCCAATCAAAATTGCATGTAGGAGGAAAATATGAAGAAAGTTTAGTGAAAGGAAATTTGGAGTAAAATGATAATGACAGCACGTATGCGTTTCCTGCCATACGAAATTGTTCCCGTGATTTAGAAAACCACCTAAGTTGGTTAGATCAAGGAAAAAATAATTACAATAATTATATTATAAGTTTACAATAATAATAATACATAAATCAATCGTTACCAACAGATTTCGAATGCGGAGTTTTTTGATAATTGATCCACTTTACCGGAACGTATATCTGTTGTTATACAAAATAAGTCTGATTCAAAAGAATTTTCATCATCTTTAATAAATCCTCGAAAGATAACGCTACGATTTGCGGGTTTTCGCATTGTCGTATTAAAAGTCGCAAGCTTTTTTTTTTTTAAGGAAAAAAGTTTTATTTTAAATTCGTTATTCTCATGTAATTAATTTAACAAATTTTTATGTAAGAATACCTGCATTGGTTGCATTGTATCAGAAATTTTCAAATTTTCCGAAATCGTTGATTTTAAGATAGATTTCCATGTCATCACGTCTCGCTTTTTTGTATTACCATAAAAAAGTGAACAAGAAAATAAATATTTTTTTTTTTTGACATTTTTCCCACAATAATATCAAGTTATAGAAATGATGTCATTGATATATTATGTATAACTCTTTTGAATCACGCAATGTTAAATTCAAACTTGTACCATGATAATCGGATAATCAGGAATTTCAATCAACATCATGATTTGCTATTTATAGAGATCGTCAAAGCACAAACCAAAACTATTTAATTTAAAAAAAATTAAAGTTTTTTTCAAAATAAATTTCATTTTGTATGTTTGCAAATGTTTTGATACAATATTTATCAATACACAAAGGAGTCTGAGCGGGAATTACAGGATATAACACTATTTAAAAGGGATCGATACACAAATAAATGAAATTCAAGTCTTGCCTTTTATATCTAATAAATCCACATCGTGCATAATCACGAGAACAAAAATATTGTAAATAAGGTTAAATTAATTGGTTTTGAAACAGGAAACGATAGGAAACAAAAAAAAAAGATTTTACTTCATCAAAAGTTTTATTTTTAATTCGAAATCACAAATAAGATTCGCGTGCCTTGCTTTACAATAAATAATAATATTAATGGTCGTCTTTAATTTATGACTCTAGAAAAAACAATTTCTCCGAGATCCGTTTCATTAGAGTCCTTAATCTTTGGATAAAATCTGCTTCAATCTACCGTTAATAATGAGCTTTCATTATCTTCAACCGTTGATGATAAGCTTTCATTCTTCTTTACGTATGTCTTTGCAAATTCTAAATATTTATTCGTATCAATGGTATATTTGATTCCCCTTTTGGCTTTAGGCTCGACATAAGGTAAATACTTAATTAAATTCATTCACGTATACAGAACAATAAGAGCGTGAATGGATGTCGGAATCGGTATGAAATTATTTGTTATAAAAATTGAATTGCTGTTACCAGACAATCGGACAAATCGGGCACAACATATGTGCGAACTTTTTCCAGGTTGATTTTATAACCACCTAAAATGAAACGGAAAGTTTAATAATTAAATCATGCGAGGAAAAGTCCAATTAAGCATAACAATAACTTGATGAGAACGTAATTACCTCTTCTCGTGTGCCATCCCATAGAACCTGAGCCGGTCCCTTTAAATTACAGTTTCAAAGTCTACCTCCTTAATTCTAAACTTCTTTACAAAATAATAATAATAATAATAATCATCAAAAAAGTTATAAATGACATGCCTTTATAATAATTGTGACCTCTCTTCGTATTCATTGGGTTTCGTTTCGCCCCACGGTATATTGCTTTGATTACTCCGAATGCCATTGATTCGATAAAAAAAAAATTTTCCGCTAACAGAAAGAAATGTAATCACACGGGTGGTGGTACAAATGCACCATTTATAAATAGCATGTTAAACGATTTGTGCTAAGCCACCCATCCCAAATCTAAATAAACAGGATATCATTGATGACATAAGCTTAAAATGAATTTCCTATAAAGAGCCTTACTTTTGATTCTCTCTGACACCTTTTTTTTTTTTTTTAAAAAAAAAAACCTTTAAATTTATTGATCATATCGAATTATCTTTTTTATAATATTTCTTACCGTAAATTTACACTCTCCAGTTAGGATCTATAAACATTTTAAGTACTAATTGACTTTTTTTTTAAACCAACACTACTTTATTCAAAAACCTTTTAATTTATTGTATTCGCAACCTTTCCGTGTACCGTTTATAGGTGGAGAGGGGTATAAACAATAGAAAAATTAAATCCAATTAGATTACAGATTAAAACCTTCTTTTTTTTTAAAAAAAAAAAAGAATATAAATTATAACAAAGTAAATATGAATCAAGAACCACTTATGATTAAAATACCTATCGAACATTTACCCGCAACTATTTGCAATTTCTTGGTAAAACCAGGAGAAAAGGTCACAAAATCGCAATCAATTTTAAGTTATGAATACAAAAAGCCCGTAAAAGAACAACGATTCGATTCAACTATAGTAGAGACTGAATGCGTAAATATTCTAACCCAAATTGAAGAATTAAAGAGTCCTACCGAGGGTGAACTTAAACAATTTCATGTTACTCCGGGAGAGACAGTCAAAAGAGAGGAGTAAGTTGTAATTTCACCTTCAATGAATAAATATATTTTTTTTCAAGTTATTAATTCAAGTTCTTTGTTTATTTTTACCTTTATCCTCAGAAACAGGGCCGTGGTAGGGATAATCGAACCGTGTTTGCACTCGATTCAAATTCATGGATTGTGTGCTTTGTGTGGAGCAGATATCACGATAAAAGACTCTAACGGGATTGATTATACTCAAAGGGCCACTATTAGCATGGCTCATAATGTTGTTGGACTAACAGTTAGTCAGACTGAGGCCGAACGATTAGAAAAGGAAACATCAAGTCGATTGTTGGAAGCAAGGAAGCTTTCTCTAATAGTTGATTTAGATCAAACTCTTGTTCATGCAACAGTAGAACAAACCGTTGAGGAATGGATAAAGGATGAAGAATGTTCCAATCATCCAACTACCAAAGATATTCACAAGTTCACTTTACCTGATGGACCATCCGTATACTACATCAAACTTAGGTATTTTGTAATTTTGAATTATTCCAAAGCTCATCAAATGTTTAAGGTTGGATTTTTTTTTGTTTAATGTATAACTCGTTTTTATTTTTTTTCCTCACTAGACCTGGGCTTAAAGAATTCCTCAGGAGTGTGTCTGAAATTTATGAACCTCACATATATACAATGGGAACACGAAATTATGCATCCGCTGTCGCGAACGTTATTGATCCAGATAATACGATTTTTAATGAGCGTATTTTATCACGTGATGAGAGTGGAAGTAAGTTGATTCTATTTAAAAAAAACTTTATTTTTTAATTTAATTACATTTGTTGATATTTTTTGTTCGTTGATGATAATATAGGTATGACCGAGAAAAATATTCGTCGTTTGTTCCCTTGTGATGATTCAATGGTAGTTGTAATTGATGATAGAGCTGATGTGTGGACTTGGTCACCTAATTTAATTAAAGTTCATCCGTGTAAGTACTTTGTTCGTATATATTCAATAAAAAATGTTGATTATAATTATGTTGTTAACGTTTTAAACTTTCTTATTTTTACAGACGATTTCTTTGTCGGAATTGGTGATATTAACGATACATACTTACCAAAGGTGGGTATAGATAAATTTTAATAAAATTTTATATTCGCGGAATCATTATTTTATTGTATTCTAATTCATTATCGATCTATAGACAAAGTCAGCTTCAGTTCCCAAGATCATTGTTTCAGATAATAGTACCCCTACTGTTGAAAAAGATACTGGTATGATATTTTATAATTCATTTTTATCATTCTTGTTCTCCTACTGATTTATACTAACATTTTGTTATAGAACAAGAGATGGATACATCAATCAGCGAAGATAATGTGTCTTCTACTGAAGATGAGAAATCCTTAAAAGAAAAAGAGCAGAATGATGTGATTAATCAAGGAAACTCCTCTGAAATTACGGAGAACGTTATTACGAATGATGAAGGTAAGGAACTATATTATATTTAATCGTGTAAAGGATTTATAATAAATTTTTTATTTCTTATTTTCTTTTTTTTTTAAAAAAAAGAAGAAATTTTAAAGGATGTTGATAACTCTGATGAAAAATCAACCAGAGAGCCACTTAAGGTGAATAATATTGAAAATAATACGTCTATCGATGCTTTACTAAAGCCTATACAAAACAATAAGCGTTCGTTTAAAGGTATATTGTGTTTTTAAATTAAACCTTTTTTTTTTTAAAAAAAAAAAAGGCTAATATTAACGTTATTTATTCTTTTTTTTGCATGATAGAAATTTCGGAAGACGTCATTAACGATGATGAAAAGTCTGTTAAAAAGCAACAACTTGATCGAAATGAAAATAATGAAAATGAAAATAAAGATCCTAATCAAACGGTTACATATGTAGATCGAGAATTAATAACAAATAAATCAAAGCCAATACCTGTTGATAACGATACGGAATTACCTAATTTATTGAAGGTAGATAGATATGATATATCATAATTGTAGCAAATTATTTATTTTACGATAATCATAAATTTTTATAATTAGGCTTTGACAAGGATTCATAAACTGTATTATGGAGAGTACGATTGTATACAAGCTGCTGCGGCAAATTCTAATGTCGCAATTACCATGCCTGATGTTACCGTTTTAATACCACAGTTGAAAAGCCAAGTATTGAAGGGCGTCCATATCTTGTTCACTCATGTTATTCCAACGAATCAAAAGAAAGAGGAGTAAGTATATTTGATTGCTTTAAAACGATTTGTTGCTTTTTTAAACTTAACGATTTTTAAATTACGATTTTTTACAGGGCTGAAATATGGATTTTAGCAAGAGAATTTGGTGCAGAATGCTATGCGAATTGGAATAGCAGAATCACGCATCTAGTAGCCGGCGATGTAAGCACAAGTCTTCTCATCAATCTATTTACTTTTTGTCAAATTTTAACAACTTTGATATTTTTAATGTAGCGAGGTACCGAAAAGGTTAAAGAGGCTCGACGGAAAGGGAATATCTATATAGTACGTAAGGAATGGTAAGTCTATATCGATTTAATAGATTTCGAACTGTCTAATTAATGTCATTCATTAAAAGTATTATTTTTCAAAAAGGTTGGACGACACTATAAAGAAATGGGAAAGACAGTCGGAAAAATTTTATACTTTGGAATCATCATCACTGCGAGATTCTGAGTCAAGTCAAGTATCAGAGATTGATAAGCTTCCAGAATTAATAATTGAAACACCCTCGGGAAATGAGTTAACAGATGATGATGACTTGTTATTAAGTCCGGAGAAACGTCATGAACATTTTGAGGCAACCGACTGGCGATCTGCATTAAATGAGGTGGAAGAACTTTTAGCCGAGTCAGGTGATACCAGCGCTTTCGATGAAAGCGAAACCGAAACCGAAAGGTATATTTATTTATTTCTAATTTTATTTTTGGAATGTTTTTATATTAATATTTTTCTCCTTCCTTAGCAATGGACGTAAGAGATTGAAACGGTATGGAGACGCATTAGATGTTGACGATCGTAATATCAAACGTTTGAAGCAGTCTCCTTTACGACAATCCATAACATTTAATCATAACGATGATGAGGAGGATGAATCAGAACAAGGAAGTCAATCGAGTTTTCAAGTAAACAATTCCGAAGGAGATACAACTGGTGATTTCGATAAACTTTCAGAAATTGAATCAGAAAATGTTTACCAAGATTCAGAGCTTGTATTTGAAGGTGAAGTTGATATTGATGAAATTGAGCAAGATTATAATGATGAAAATGATGAATTTGGAAATTTTTACGATGATTATGATGATGCTGGTAATCAAAGTGATGATGAAGGAGGCGATGATGATTTTGATGATGAGGAGTATGCACATTATTTTGAAGAAAATTTAAAACAGCCTTCTGATAAAGAACCTTTCAAGTGATGAAACAATCACATTTGAATTAGAAATCCCAATATATGTGCGTGTTATTATGTGATATAGAACTTCTTTTTTTTTTTTTGCATTTAATGTATTTTCATTTGTGTATGTAAATGTCATTTTCTTTTCTCTTTTTTTCTTGATGCATATATTTCTTGTGATATTATCATGTATATATTTTTTTTCATGTAACGTAATTTTATCCTTTTTAAAAAAAAAAAAAATCTTTTTTAAAGATACGGACTTACGTATAAAAAAATATAAAATAAATTTTAACAGATTTTTGATTGTATTAGTTACGTTATAGAAATTTAATTTCCTAGACTACATTTCTACCTTAATACTTTGTACAATAAGTTAATTAATTTGTTTTGCATAGTGTAAGATAATTTTATATATATATTTCTTGTAAATTATTTAATTATTATTTATTGTAATTTTTTTAATAAAATTTTGCTCAATATGGGTAAAAGATTTTCTTGATCTTAAACTATTGGGGTATCACAATATCAGCCATAATTTACAGGTTATTCAAATTTTCTAATATGGCGCAGAAAATGTCGATCAAAAACACCGTGAAACAAATTTCTAAAAAATTTTTTTACTTAAAATCGGGAAGTTTTTCTTGTGTAATATTTATACTTTCATTACCTGGACCAGTGAGAAAATATAAATATTATATGATTTTATATTTTCACGCTTATACTAGACCAATATGTTCTAGGACGTTATAATCTATTAATTAATATGTCCTAGGATGTTATAATCCATTGATTTATTTGTCCTAAAGATAGGGTCTGTTTCCCTGTTGGTTAGTAATTATGGATGAAGTGCACGCCTATTTGGTTGCCTTCAGGATACCGAAATAGTGTAAAAAAAATATTGCGTTGGATGCGCAGTGAATTTGTGATTAATTTTTGCTGGCTCCATAACAGTGATGGCATTTGGTCACAACCAATGGCTGTTTTGACCATTTTGGCTATGGCCAAATCGGCCAAATGTCAAAGGTCACATGATTCTGCCAATTTTTTGGCTTGAATATTCAATATATTGCATTTATTCAATTAACTGACACCTCTGACATTTAGAACGGTCAATTGATTGCATTTTTTGCAATAATTGATGCATCCGACGTTCAGAACGTTCAATTAATTGCATTTTTGCAAATTTCAATAATTGAAAGTTCTGAACATCGGATGCAAAAAATGCAATTAATTGACCGTTCTGAACGTCAGAAGCATCAAAATTCAGTTTAATTGATATCATTACTACTCCAATCTATCGTAAAACATTTGCAGATTAAGCAATAATCGTAGATGATATTTTATCACCTAACAAATGCATTGCTGAACTGGAAGGACAAATAACTACTATCTTATGTTTACTCTGCATTAATGATTAGAATAATTTAGGGTTCTCAGAGGCATATTCCCTAAAGATAAGAAATATCAAATCATATTTTATTAATTTAAAAGAAAATTTATATATATACACAGTATTATTATTAATGTATATATATTTTTTTAGAAGAATACTTAACAGTCAGCCTAAGCAAGTATGTTTGATAAAATCAACTATTAGCATAATTATTATTATCTGAATCACTAGGTACTTTGATATATTGATTGTATATATTTAGCATTAATTTTTAAATCTTTAGGAGTAGCTATCATAGTAAAATTATGGTCCTTTTATCACCAAATGTTTTATAAGCCCATTTTCTAATAGATCTAATTCCTTTAACAGACACTATATCATTATTTGCTATTAAATTTTGTGATTAGTGTAACCATTATATTTTTTCTACAAATTCTTTTATAAGACTTCTTGGAGAATTTGTTAAATCATTCCCTTCTGAAAATATCATCAAAATAAAAAAATAAAATAAAAAAATAGTAGATATGAGTAAAATAAATATGGAGAAAAAAAGAGTAAGTTATGTAATTAGTAGCAGAAAAATCAATTTAAATAAAATTTATTTAATACAAATTGTAAAAAATTTAGATCATTATTACAAATTGAATTCAAAGAATCAATGCAAACGTAGATAAAATATCTTACCAATAAATTGTTTAATATTTTAATTCATAATTGCAATGAAATTGGATAAAATAAATAAATTTTTTTTTTTTTTTTATAAAGAATGATTTTCTTTATTCCATTTTATTAAATTAAATTGATCAATTTATATATAAAAGTGTATTTTCATTATTGGCAAAATGGTAATCATTTTAAGGAAAACAAAAAAGAAAATCTAATTTAACAATCTTTTTTAATAAGCCATTTATTTGAAAAATAAAATTAGATCAATTTATTCTTTTTTGGCTGAGATTTTATGATATTGTTACCCGAAAAATAGGACATTTATTTTTAGGTAAGAGGTTGAGTTCGTTATGTTATAAATTCTTAGTTGATTTGATGAAACATCCTTGATCGCTGCTG